TGTCAGTGCCCGAAGTGGGCATAAGCTGTCAAGAAATTCGTATCAAAGCTTTTTATCTTTCCCTTCTCTTTCATAAGCATTTGTTATATCAATAAAACGTTTATTGGAAAAGACATATATCGCTTTCTTGATTAATTTGTTTAAACGACTACGAAATAAACGAAATTTTTAATTTTTAATTGAATCTTGTGTCAGATGAAAGAGGAACAGGCCACAGTAGACAGTTCCCGCGTAAAATGAAAAAAAAAAGAGATAAAGTTGTATTAAACTAACACTAAATTCTACACATACATACAGTTCAGTGAATTCTATTACTTGGAGATTTGTCACAGTTGCACATATTTCCTAGTCGTGGATTAGAGGGCAAGGAAAATGTTAAACAGCTGTTTCTGAATTGCCTTTGTGGGATTATAGACTATTAGATCTGATGTCACACTGTAAGTACTCTGTTCTTCCTAGACAAGTCTGCTTTGAACGTCTGTGCACGCGAACTGTGGGGTGAAAAGGAAACGCTTGGGGAAGGAACAAATGATGTTGGAATCTCTCCCGCGTTCAGTCCTGAAATCGTTTTCAGCTTTTCAATAGTTTAAGGTAATATATAGTTTATTACAATCAGGTGCATATTACCATTCCTGTTTAGTAGGTTTAACTCCTTAATGCAGATACCTCGCCAATACAAAATAATAGGGAATTGTCTAGTGTTCGTACATTATTTATATTAGATCAAATAGCTACGTGTAATAGGGTTTCTTTAATGCCAATCACACATTTTTACCACTATTTTCAAATTAATTGTCAGCCTCCTATATAGGTTTCTTTATAGATAAATGACAGATCTTAAAAGAAGATTTATTTCGGACTGTCAAGACATCATTTCCTGAAAATATAAGGTTTGTGAAGTTTGCAAATTAAAAATATCTCTTATGCTGCAATAGAGAATCATTGAAACAGTACAAAAAAAATTCTTTCATTTATTTTCACGCTTTCACAAACACTTTATCCTGAAAAAAATTGATCAAATGACAAAATTACCTCGAAACCTAATATTTAGAAATCATTTTTTGAAAGGTTAAATTTAGCAGACTGGAAAGCTTCGACGATAAAGAAATGGGGTTACCGGGCTCGTAAGTTATAAGCGTTCAAGCTAAAATTAAGGGTGATTTTAACAGAAATCGCAATCGGTTGTAAACCCCCTTTGACTGCAATCGTGTAGATCTGGCTGCTTATCATTTTTTCTAAAAACTACTCTTTTCGCGTCGAAAAATCGACTACAAAGGTTTGAACGACCTGTAACCACTAAGGGTCTTGAAAGCTAATTTAAGATCATGATAGGACCGACTGTATACATGCACCGGCCTTACAAGTCTCAAAAATTGCGTTGTCCTTATCACAAATTTAATGTTTTTTTGGAAACAAGTTCCTGATGGTATTTTGTGAGCAAAGAAAATTTTGTAAAACACGGTTCTAATGGAAGAATGGCTTTATTTCTACTTAAAGTTACATTGCAAAGAACAGACATCGCAGGTTGTTTTGTGTGTCTACAGTGCAAGTAGGCTTGCGGTCCTCACACTATTCTGATTGATTCGTCCTGTTATTTGAACAAATGTCTGCTCGCCTTCTCCTTCTTGTGCTAGTTCTTCATACAAGTCACTGAAGAAGAAACAACGCGAGAAAAGAGTTGATTGTTTGCGACGCCTTAATCGTTTCTAATGTGAACTTTTAACGATGATGATAATGCTGATGACAATAATGACGGCGATGTTAATGTTAACAATAATATCGTAAATGGTTTGAACCGTGAAGTCAATACAAAAGTAGGTAGAAACTTACAATGAGAGTGAGTCCCAGCAAGTGGTTCGTAATTAATGACAGTGCACTCTTATCGACTGACGTCATAGACCTTTCATTGTTACCCCTTCCAGAAACTTTTGCGGAAAGCAGTTGTTATTGCACTCCGCTGTCTGTCGAATCGTAATCAGCTCAATATTCTCGACCAATGTTTGCGAGTTTACATGGATTTTACTTTTGGTATTGCTGATAGACAATCGTCTTTAATGACACGTGTACTTGTGCCTGGAGGAGGGGGGGGGACGACGTAGAACGCCTGTTAAATGTCAAATGAAGATTCAACACAGCAACATGGAGAGCAATAATATTGGCATATAATTTACCTCAAAAACGTGGGTGAAACTTCCAAGCCTAGAACCGTTATCTTGTGTGGCCTGCAGTCCAAAAGAGATGAGGAAGACATGTATTATTAACAAAGAAAACTCAGCTGAGTATATTGTCTAGGTTTGGGGTAAAGTAAGAAGCAGTTAGCTCGTGTCGCAGAAGCTCTAAACGACACCGCTTGGTCAATAGTTTAGGCAATACATGGGTTGGCTGCAATGACGCAGGCTACATATGACACATCTGAATGCCACTAAAAGCATCTCTGAGTTGCGTAGTAAAACCAGAGAGAACACTTCGACATTCTGGACATTGGGTGTTGTAATAAGAAACTATATCTTCTCTATCAGGGTGGTGCAACGCCCCATTACCCAGTTTACCTCCGTTTGTGTCAAGTGGTTGCCTACGAGGGGATGGTAACTCTGTAAAATGCCACATGTCTGCCCAATCTGTCTTCACTCCGACGATCCGAAGACGTCACAACTGTTATATATATTTATCCTGTTTATTTATCTGTCTATATTATTTATCTAACACATTTATTTATTCCCATCTATTATTTATTTATTTATTTATTTATTATTTTCTGTCGACCACCATCTGCCGTCCTGCACCAATCAGCTCTGGGCTGATCATGCTCTTCATGAATGAACGCATCACTTTTTAAGAAGATTTGGACATGACTAACTGGGCTAGAATTTTAGCCTCGGCTGATTTGCCATAAATGTCTATGACTAGGAACTTCAAATTCAGTTCGTAAGTCTGACGTGAGATAAGTTGTATTGACTGAACACCACTATTCTGTTAGGCGTAAAACGTACACCTAAAAGTTTACAACTAAGGATAATTATTTTTCACCTTTCCTTGCTTCGTAGCTTTGTCTTTTTTCTTCTGGATTGAAACATGCCAAATTAGTATTAACGTCTGCACCGAACGGTGTCTATTCACTAGCACTAACCGTTCAAAATATTTACTTCCTCTAGCTCGCGTCAAACTCACCTTTCTGGCACCCTTTTTCTTTGACCTGGCGGACGTAGCCCCCATATCTTCCTCCGACTGCAGAGACCGGCCCCACTTCAGGTAAAGTGCATGATTTAAAAAAAACACACACTCACACATTAGCCTCTTTTACAGTGGAACCTCGATTTAACAAAGTCTTCCAACGGACTGGGAAAATTTGTTCGTTATATCGAAAACTTCTATATAACGAATTTTTGGCAAAACAAGCAAAATGTTCGTTATATCGAGGTATAGTTAATGATTAATTTCCAACGCCCAGCATTTACGGATCTGAACAATTTCTGCAATAAACATCTGGGCCCAGTTGTTCGAAGGCCGATTAGCGCTCAACCTGGGGTTAAATTTGACCCTGTTTTCTTTTTCTTGTGCTCAAAAGCATTTTCTCGTTTAATTTTCTCTGTTATTTTTAGAGCTTCCAATCATCAACCTGTAGACAAAAAGAATTAAAATTGAAATGCTTTTTAAGCTTTTAAATCTGAATTCAAATCTCGCACTAACCCTGGGTTATCGTAACCCAGCTTTGAACAACTCGGCCCTGTATACGAAGTTATTGTCTCAGTTCAGAGCTGTACATACCTACGGCACTGGAAACACAAGAACAGGCAAACAAAACTGCTTAAAGCCACTGTCTGACATAAATTCTATTCTCGTTGGTCTATTTGGCATTCATCTTTAGCTATCTTTCGGTCACATGCTGACATTTATTCGTTATATCGAGGTATATTTACGTTTTCGTTTCTGGATTGTGTTCGTTATCATGACGATTCCGTTAAATCGAGGTTCTGTTCCATGCATTTTGTTGTAATTTTGGCCGGGCTGAAGAAAATTGTTCGTTATACCGACGAATTCGTTATAAATAGGTTCCACTGTATTAAAGGATTCTAATACTAGAGTTAAAAATGAAATAATGAAGTCTATCCAGAAATGATAACCCCTTAACGTCCTTACATAATCCTACCGGATTACTGCTAGTATTAAAGTGGCTCTGTCACTGCAATTCTTGTCCCATCTTTGTTAGAATAATTATTACTGAATACGTCACTGTTTTTGTTGCATAAAAGGCAGCTTCAGCACTAAATGGAGAGTGTTTAAGTGAATCAGTGGTAGGAGGGCAAAATCATATGTCATTTTGACAAATTTGTTCCACGCGCAATTACTATTTGAAAACTAAGCGAAAGTCGCAAGTTGAAATTCGTTTTCCTGTTTTCGTTAATGACAAAAGACAACCGTAGCTAGTTTCGTTGCACTTTCAATTAACGTTAAAGTACTTCTTACAGGAGTTTCAAAGTTCTTCTCACAGGAGCAATTCAAGTGAAGATTTCATTGTTGAAAATACATCTATGGGTGTGTCCATATCTCGTGATACTATCCCTTTACGCTAAACTAATACCTTCCATTGAAAAAATGATACCCCTCTCACATACCCAGTCAGAAGAAACTGCAATCCTTTTTTAGACCCTTGGAGTGAAAACAGTTAACTGACGAAATGACAAGATTCATTTGTTCACAATGTTTTGAAAATTACTTTTTTTGTGGCTAAACATGATTTATACGTCAACGTCAACTCTTAACTGTCCCTACTCTTTCCCCCCGCACCACATGCATCCTTTGAGAGATTTCTTACCCTTTAACTCTCTGGGGCTTTTCATGTCATTAGTTCATCCTGACCTGTTGACCGAACCTTTGACATGTTCGCATATCATGTGAAGCCCAGACAAGTCAACATGCCTTTTTTTAAAATTCTCGGGACGAGAGGGTGAAACTAACATACATTGGCAAATAATTCTTTTTACCTTAAATACTTGGTTGTAGCCTGCGATCATTTGGGGACGTTTGTGAGGGGAATTCTTCTGCAGTCCAAAAGAAATGAAGACACGAGTTAAGCAGAGAAAACTGAAATTAGTTTTTTTTTCCACTTAATGACACTAGCAACTTATTGAATCTTCTCTAAGTCACAGAGCTAAAAAAGGGTATAGGGAATATTTAAAGAATGAGTGAGGTATAAAAGAAGAAAATTCGAGGAAGAACATCGCAGTTATTTGCGAAAAGAAATCCTAAAAAATTCGGGTAAGTTTCTATCAAAAGGGGGTGGTGTATTAGTAGCAAGGGATGAGAACAAAGTATGGCTCTTGGTGACAATCAATTTGTTTTGAATTCAAAGGACCAACAAGATGGTGAATTCTATCCCAAAGTGAAGTTTTGTCTAGCCCTCCGGGCTGAAATTTCTTTGCTATTACATTGCAAATTTCAGTCTAAACTTTAAAATTGTTTAAAACCTTGCGGGAAAATTTACAATAAAGGTATTTCACATTTAATGCTCAGCAGTTCGCAGCTGATTGCACACGCCCAAGTTAATGACAACAATTCAGCCATTGGTCAGGATATCCGGGCTGTACTGTATTCATGATATAATGCAAATTTTTTCTAAGAAGATTTGGTCCGGAAGCGAAGCTGAAATCCAGGAGCCGATCGACTCCTGTGAAATCTCAGCCCGCCTAACCGGGAAAAGAATTTTGTCTCCTGCTGAAATTCGTTGAGCCTTAGAATTTCCATAAATGGAAAATCCGTGTGAAAGTTTTGTCATAAAAATTGCCATTGTTATATACTTGTAGCTATTCAGCCTGATAGGAACAAAAGAACAAGTAGACTTTTTGTGGAATCATTAAAAGAACAATGGTTTTCTTACCGGTTGTTGCTCCTGAGGCTTGGGATTTTTCTTTTGATAGAGAAGTGTCAAATTATAATCTTTTCAGTTTAAAGCTTACAAACATTCAACTAAACACATGTAACTAAGCTCAGGGCCAAGGGAGTTTGACAAATAAGAAACGAAGCGATTGACTGTGAAAATCACTGATTTAAAAGGTTTTTTTTCAAAATTTATTATAAGGAGACAGTATTGGCATATAAATGTATGAAAAACCGCGTTCCACTTTAGTTCAGGGAGCGCCAAAACCTATGTCCGATTGTCCGGGACGGGTAGAAATTTTGTTCGGACATGAAAACCTTTGACATAACTTGTCCGTTGGACAAGCACATTTTCAATTTTTAATTAGAAAAAAAAACCAGAAACAGTTCAAAATTGACTTCAAATTACAGTAGAATTAAAATTTTCCTTATAGTCATAAATATAGCAAACCTCATACTTGACAAAATACAAATTTAATATAGTGCTTGTCCGAGGGACAAGTGGATAAGAAACTGTTTCTCTTACTCTGTATTTGTAGCCTTTGGAAGTGTACTGCCGTCTCTCCGAGTCTTCTCACCCCTTGCCGAAACGACCCTAGCGGCGAGGAGCGAGTTACTCTAAATGAGAGATCTGGCAAAGGTTAATAGAAATTAATACTTCATTTGTTGAAAAAAACGACGCATCTTTTCCACAAGAAATAACCAGAACTTCCGCCACCCTCATTTGAACAAGTCCCGCGTGTTGCACATTTCTCTCGTTTCCCCCGCGACTTCTTGGGATGTGCAGAAAATATGCGCGATAAAAATAGTGGGCGCCTTCTTCAACATGCTCTTACTACATATTGCAAGAAGAACTATTTACCAACCTGACATGAACCGTAGAAAAATGCTTGATTTCGCGCCACACTTACCTTTCTGACGATCTCAGTTTTCCTTGCATCTATAGACTTGGCACCAATATTATCCTCTGACTGCACAGACCGGCCATACATTCGTTAGTTTGGTGTAAATGAAAAAATCACGCAAAGAAATTAGTTATAGTTGCACTTGGGAGGATTTCTAAGCACGAATTGAAAGAAGCTATAGTCGCACTACGCTTCTTTCTTGCTTAGCAACCTCTTCGTGCAACTATTTAACAATTATTCCTCGAGCCCGAATGGGCTCTCAGTTAATAGCCCATGAGGCCGAAGGCCGAATGGGCTATTGACTCAGAGGCCATGAGGCGAGAGGAATAATTGTTTTAGTAAAATCCAACTAGTTGGTCAAAAATTTCGAAGCAAAACAACTTTAGCTTGAAAAACGCGATTCATCCCCCCATTGTTTTGGTTTTCAAAGCCGGGGCTTTTCGCTACTAGTGGGCTATATAGCCTGGTAGTAGCTCATCCAATCAGAACGCAGCATTGATAATAGACCACTAGTTGGATTTTACTAACACTCAATAGTACAAGCTGAGCCGTTTACCATTTGCATGTTAAGTTTACTACAGCAGGTAACACAAGGATGTTCGTGCCGAAGGTCTTGTTATAATACAACCTGCTTCTGTGCATTTCTGCCCAACTACTGAGAGTGAATATTTCTAACTGTTTTAATCAAATTCGTCAAGTAATTTGCATCATGTGTATAATTTAATAGAATTTAAGATCTCTTTCTTCCGATTTTTTGGTTTAAACCCACTTTTTATAGGAAGTGCGATAGCCAATCAGATAGCAGAATTGGTCTCAGTATCCTAGTTGGGTTCTACTAAGAACTAGATTATTCTCTCTTGCTCATGGAAAACACATACGTTCGTCAACCAGAAAGTTGGATTTGTCAGATAGAGGGCTAGTAGAATTTTACTTAATATATTTGTTAAACATACTTCGTTTCTACAAACGTTTTCTTTAACCCTACCTACCTACCTTGGTCAAGGAGGTCTCTCTTTTTCCCGACAAATAACTAGGATGTACTAGACCATACAAGCCAGCCGTTATCTTAACATTTCTTGGTGGTGTCGGTGACGTTGTAAAATTCAGGTCTAAGCCACCTGCAGTTGATAGTGACGCAATAGGTTGGCCATCTGGTGATGAAGTGACTGAGTGGTTCTTTAGTGCTGAGGTAAGTGGTGGCGTATCTGTTATGACTGACTGGATCTTTGATACTGGAGGAAGAGTAGCTGACATCTAAAATGTCCCAGGTTTTAACATAACAGCGTTAGGTGAGTCGAAGTTCTCTTGGCCTTGACCTTCTTTTCAAAGCCGGAGAATTAACGACCCTCGTACACTAAGAATGGCTGAAAACCCACTTTCTCTATAGCTTTCCAGAGCTTTCCTCCAGTGAAGGAAATTAAGGAAAAACTATACCCTGAATTTCTAACCTTTTGGAGGAAATCCCTTCAAGGTGACTCTGACTTCTCAGGGGGGTACTCCGGATTTCAAGTGACCGGAATGGTCGAAAGATTTTTTGGGGGTTTGAAATTTTCGATTTTGGGATTTTTTAGGGTAGGCGAAATTTTGGCAAGTATTTTTGGGTATTCAAAACAAACTGAAGATTCGTGGTAGTTCACTCGCATCCAGGCCGCGTAGTTCCGCGAATAAAGTAAGACCAAACTTGTTTTGCGACTGTTTTAATATTTAACCGGTTAACATACAATTACGGTTGTTGACTTAGTATTCTAGCCTTTGAGTAAATGTGAGGTTAAGGTTGACCGACTTGACCTTGTTTTGATACAAACCTCTTTTCTTTTCTTGTGGAATTATGCTTAAAAATACTTGTTAGCATAAGAACAACAGAGGCTTATATCAAAACAAGGTCAAATCCAGCTTCTATTCCACCAGTAATTGTAAAATGGGCTATTAGGGGGATTTAAAATTTTTTTTACTTACACAATCATTCTTTCCACCTCTCTCTTTACCTTTTCCACCTTTAGATTTCAAACCAAAAAGAAAACGCGGACACTTGTTTTCCTATAGAGGTAAAAAAAAGAACATGTTTGCCGGATAAGATCACCTTATAATCTCAGGTATCCTATATCCTCCTTAAGATCGTCTGCGTGAGAGGCAGTGAGACATATTTCCATCTTCGTATGACATTTTTAATTCGTAGCTATTGCTGTTAATTCAGACTAATTTTAGTTCTCATCAACGCCCGTCATATGCTACCAACCTACGGTTAATTCCTTAAAGCATAGAAAACTCAAATAGGTTTTATTCTACTTTTTCTACTAAAAGGTAGCCCGCGAGCCGCATACGTATTTCCGGTCGTTGCTTCTCTCCCTCCGAAAACTAGAGCCAAAAAAACCGGATGCTCTTGCAGGCTAACTAAAAGGTGATATTTAAAGAATGAGAGAGGTATAAAAGAAACAAATTCAAAGACGAACATCGCAGTTATAGACGCAACTTATGCAGGTGCGAAAAGAAAGTTTGAAAATAGTCAGGTGAAAAGGGTGTGGGTGTATTAGTGGCAATGGATGATAATCAATTTTGTTTGAACTTAAGGGGCCAGTGAGATGGCGAATTTATTCTTAATAGTCAAACCCGACAAAATAAATTTCAGATTTCACAGGATTTGAGAAAACACACGTAAAAACCACGTCATGCGCAAGATTTCATTTTGTGAAGTTTGAAGCTTTTGAAGTTTGTTTTCTCGGGCTTCCATGAGAGCTTTTTCTTTAGAGTTATTTCATATAACTTATTGCATTTATAGCCCTCGAAAAGTGTTAAAAAATACAATGTGATTGAAATTATTCTGGTACAAGGTTTTATCCACTGAAAATTAAAATTACTCAATTTCCTAGTGGATTCCGTCTTAATTTTTTGTCAATTTCTAATTTTTCAAGCTTCAGGCATCTTTTTGGCGACGCTACCTCTGGTTTCCTCGCCCGTGTGAGAAACGAGCGCAGAAGTTCCATACTGATGACGTGTCACTACCCAAATTTGGGTAGTGCTTCTGATTGGTCGTGCCGCGTGGGAAACTTGATTCAACCAATCGGAAGCACTACCGAGACAGCACATCTGAGCGTAACTATCAAACTTTTAACAAGATCTAAGAAAAAGAGGTTTTGGCCGCCATGTTGGAGGGCAAGAGTATGCCCTCCAACATGGCGGCCAATACAGATGATACTACTTTGTTGAAAAATCAAAGTGCCATAAAATATCTCCCTTAAATGCGTTTCCCCTCAAATTTCGGATGTAAGATAAATTTTATGTGCTCTGTCAATTTTTGGCATCAGCAAGATTCCAACTCCTTGTTTAAAGGAAGCATTGGTCACGTGACCTCTTAGTGCAAGTGGCCTATTGCTTCTTTTCAGTTGCAGACCTTCCACTGCACCGTCTGCCAGAAAACCTTGGATTTTTAGAAAGTTTGAGAATTAGACGATGGTCAAAATAATATGCAGCGAATAAGGGGGTTACAATCGGAAAAAGGTAAAAGCTTCTGAGGTTAAAAAGCGGCTGATAAGCAACAACTTGTATAGTATAATTAGTGTCAAGAGGGAGAAATAAATCATTGCAAAACAACCTTACATCAAAGGGGTGAAAAACGAGCGAGTTTTCTGTTTTGGGCGTTAAGCAGCAAGTGAATCATTTAATGCATGCGCATTTATCCCTATAATACAAACCTTCAGTGGCATTTTTCGAACCATCGATTTGTTTGCCCTGCAAAAAATAGAAATAATTAACTGCAATTCAAGTGCCGTCGTATAAGCAGTACTTACAGAACAATCCATCACGTGTAGATGATGTGTGTTTTATTCATAGGTATGTTATAGCAAAACGGTATAGTTAAAAACTTTTGTAGAGAAAAGAATAAACAACCATGAAGTCAAAGGAACATTATCTTTTCAATCAGTAGGCCATTTCCGAGTTCCCCCGGACCTCCGTATCGAAACGAGGTTAAGTGCTCAACCTTTGAACAGGAAATGATTTTTCATTTTCCTGCAAATGAAACTCATTTTCCCAAGAAAGGTTGTACACCTGGCCTCATTTTGAAAGTGATGGTTTTTGGAACTCGGAAGTGGCCTTGGCCTATTTCATTTCAATCTGAATGTAAAATTCGAGGTATAAAATTTACGAATTCTGATTGGCCTATAGCTTAACGGTCATTTTATTTCAAAAGGAGCAGTAGAGTGAAATTTCCAACATAGAAACTAAAATAAACTTCAAGGGTAATTTAGAGAGTTATAAATGCAACTAGGTGTCGGAAGGAATTTTTTTTTAAACTACTTTTAAAAAGTTCACCTGTTAAGATTTACTGGATTAACCTTCAATTCAGGGGCTAGCTTTCTGGACCGGGCGCGTGAGATGTGGTGGGAGAGTCGCAATTTAGAAACTGGATACGGGGGCATCTTTCGCCTCACGTCCAGCTTTAATATTTACCCGCTGGGCTCAAACGTCTCAGGCGTGCTCTGTTTTATTAAGCGGTATTATAGTAAAAATTGAGGGAACAAACAGGCAAGGATGAGCAAAGTAATTTGTTAATGCAACTAATGCGTTTTTTTAAATTATTATTATAACGAGCTTCTTTGCATAAAAGTTTTGTCGCCCGAGCAAAATTTTGTTTGCAAATGACGCCGACATTAAAACCCGTTTCAGTTTTCGAAAACGTATTCAGAACGTTTTTAGTAAACTTTGCAAATGTTTCTGGTTTGACTGTGGTGAACCCTGTTTATCGCACTTTTAATTCTTGCTGGTCTTCCTCTGCTTTTAAAATCAAGGATGGTGACTTCACGAAGTACGAAATGTATAATACGCCTACACTGCATATCATATGCTGGTAACATCATCTAGGGACTCAATGCTCCAATGCTTCAGCGTAATTCTTCTAAAGTAACACAATGTATGGGTCCCGTTCACGTCTGGAGATTTCAATTCCGAAGGCAATTAACTAAAAGGACAAACTTTATTGTGGCAAGTGTTCATTACCTTGGTGGTATTACGGGTTCCACAAACACCCCTCTGGTTATCTGTATTAAAAAGAAATAGTTTACGATTCAGCAGTTTACATGAATTGTTTGTGCCTTTAGCAAAAAGTAAATCGGAAAGTTCCCCACCCTAATTAAATTTATTGGGGATCGTACCAACAGTTTAAGCTGTTTTGAGTGAACAAGGTTAAAAAATATCTGAAACCTGTCATCCATGGGAGTTGCACTACTCTTTCTCCCAAAAGACTTCAAAATGGGAAATTTAAATGGTTCAATAAAATCTTTTCGCTACAATCTCCAACGGGCAATACCAACATATTATTTGTAGGAAGGGTTACCTAAATGAAAGAAAATAATTTTAATATATATTGGTGTTACCATGTAATGTTTTTAAAGCCGATCTGAATATTCCTTCCGCAAAAGGGACTTTACCAGTTTTTGGATAAGGAAATAACTCTCCTTATATTACGTTCTTTTTTGTTGTATCAGTCATCACCACCAGTTTACTAGTATGAAAAATAGCGTTTTCCCAGAATTTGCGACCCGCATATGGCCAATAGGAGCGTTGTGTGCCGATTTCCTTGAGGTAACCCGTTCAAGATAATTTAGTGTGATAAGTTAAATTTTAAAAAAAGCATTTAATGCCATTGCAAATAGTTTCGTTAACAACTCAAGTTTTAATACCAAATCGTATTTGATTTTAACGCGACACCGCTAACAGATAATAATGTCAATTGCCCAAGATGCAATAATAGCGGCTTTTTGACCTACGACTGAAAACATCATTTAGTGTCTTCTCTTAAGAGCCTTTCTAGGTAATGAAATACTCGTCTTTTATTTCAGCAAAAGTGTGAAATTTACGCTAAACTAGACTTCTTCAGAACATTGTAAATTTTGAGAACATAGTATCTGCCTTTTTGGCGAGCGATTTCAATGTCACAATTATCTCGGCCATATCGACAGAAAGTTTTATAAAATCAAGATAGGGAGGGAATTAGCCCCCTGAGTATCCGATTCCGGTCTTTGTTGCGCCATTCAATCCTCCAATTTATCGGTACACGTTTAATATTCAAGTCAAACTTACAGGTTCTGGTGATGCTCGTTGCAACACTGCACAGAAAAGTGTTCCCCAGATAAGGAGAAACATCTCCTTGAAAGGCATTATCTAGGTTAGTCGCGCGCCTGTTCAAACGACTTTGAAGGAGGAACCGGTAAACATGAGGTCCTATATTAATCAAATAAATCTGTTAAGCCAGTCCCCTTGGAGAAATGTTAATTGGAAAGTTTAATCATTTATTTGCGGGGGACAAAACTAAGTTATTGTTTTTTCACAAGCAGACAAGCATGGAATTCCGGTTCTACTCGCAATGCTTTTGTTTTAAATCTGACTATGACTATTGTTAGTGTTTAAAAGTTGGATTTCGAAGGGCAATGTCATACAGTCGATCGACCCTCTCGTACGCTACCACGCCAAAATGCGAAGAGTTGGTGGTCGCTTTGGAATGTTATTACAAAGCGAAACGAAAATTGAGTCTGATCTCAGGTTAATGGGAGGTGGCCTCTTACGCTTACCTAGAGAAGTCCGAATACATTCACTTTTGAAGGGAATCAAGAGAATGTTCTCTTGGGAGAATGTATTGCATGCATTTAATTTCTAGGTTACACTATATTAAATCCATGTTGTAACTAAAAGTTATTTTCAAACTCTGAGTAGCGCCGTAGTCCACGCAGTAAACACAGAGATCAGACAATTATATCAGGTGGTCGCTTAGAAGAGTTTAAGAACAAACCGTCATCCTAATTAAAATGGTCGTCTCTTAGAACGATAGGAGGTTGTTTACGAGAGGTTCCACTGAACTATAAGGCTTGGACCGGAAAAAGATTGGCTTTTTGGATAAGTGGTCGCCAGTTAGAGGTGGCCGTGCACGGAGGTTCGACTGTATTCAGAGCTGTAAACAGTTTTTGTTCCTTTGATGCTTACTATCGGCTCTTGTTTCGACAGGTGTAAGCTTGCAAACATTTCGGTATTACGTTAGCGATCCAGGGTTATCTCATCCACTGAAAGCTTTTTGATAATCCAGATTTTGAACAGGCAAGTCAGAGGGAGGTAGAGCGGGCAAGCTATTTATTATAAATTTCATGGATACGGTCTTGCACGAATAGTTCACCGCAACTGGACTGTTCTAAAATATTTTAACATTTAAATCATCAGCAGCCCTAAAATAAGTAATAATAACTATTAGTTGAAGAGTGTTACTTATAAAGGGCAGTGGATTAATAACCACCTGCGTTAGTTATTCTATGATATTCGTGATGTTATGAATCTATGACTTCTTAAGGCAAGGGCAGCTGTTACGGAAGGCAAATTAAAAAACTCATGGATATTAAAGGGGCTTTTCTGTGGAAACTAAAAACAGGCCTCCTCTTTGAATTAGAAACCAAGCTCACAGCATAAAATAATTAGCCAACAAGCCTATCAAAATTACAATCATTTTCCTATACACTTTAAGGTAACAACCACATGGGGCTGCTGAACAGAGGGGTACCCAACGATTGTTTTCTGCAAAATAGGGTATCTGTTCGAAGAGGCAAAAATTGCCTAGCATTTTCTATAGCTTAAAGGACGACTCAAAATATCTGGATGATCGTCCATTCAAGTACGATTTTCGAAGGTTATCTAATAAAATCCCTACGATTTTCTGAAGTTTATTTGTTTACATTTCACTCCCCAGGTTAAGCTATATTTCGAAGAAAAAGGAAACCTGAATTTTTAGGATTTGAAAATTTAAAAGAGAAAGTATTCAGAAAAATACTAACCTTCGTAAAGCTTTAAGACGGAATCTACCAAGAAATTGATTAATTTTAATTTTCAGTGGACAAAAACCTTGTACCAGAATAATTTAAAGAATATTGCGATCTTTTTTTGCATTTTTCAAGGGCTATAGCTGTAATTAGTTATCTCTAGTAACACCAAAAAAAATTTCTTAAGGGATCCCGAAAAAATAAAGGCAAATTTCACAAGAATTTTGAAAACGCAGGTAAACTTCTGAAAATTTCATGTGTAAGATGTCATTTTGTGAAATTTGACATTTATTTTCTTGGGCGCCCGCAACAAATTTTCTTTGGTGTTATTACCGATGACTAATTACACCTTTAGCTCTTGAAAAATGTGAAAAAAGAATGTAATATGCTTTAACTTATTCTCGTACAAGGTTTTTGTCCACTGAAAATTCAAATTACTCAATTTCCTAATAGATTTCGTCATAAATTGCATCTAAAATTTTTCGGGAAAAGAACACTGAAGCCCTTTTCCGTTAATTTCGAAAAGACTCGAGTTGCTCTAGGATGACCGAAAAGATACAAACTTAAAGGCGCCACTTAGAATGCATTTCTAGTGATCTAAACTTGTTTTAGACAGCCTGAAAGTTGTTTTCAACGTACACAACTTCGTCGGGTGTCCCTGTGAACAAAGCCCTAAGCCAGGAGTTGGATGGATTCATGGTCTACAACTATTTTTTTGTTAGATTAAAAACAATTTTGGGTACAGTTATACGCCTATCAGTATATATATGTTTTCACTTACTACAAGTGATTTTGATTGATCAGAAAATTATGTAAAACTTGCTATCCTTCAGTTGTTTTACTAGCTTTATCTTTTTTGGAACATCCTTTCGATATCTTTATGATTTTTTAGCTGTGAAATCATTGAACGTTATTACTCTAATACGAAATATTAATTTTCTTAGATCTGATTTCATTTAACGCAATGCTTTATAAAAACTGCAACTTGCACCTGAGCGTAATAGAACAGAAGTTAGGAACAAAAGGGAATAACTCTTGTAAGCAATCAATGCATTCCCTTTGTCTTACCATATTAGGGCTGTAGGGTTCTGCCCTTTAGTTCCCTCCAACAAAGTACCTATTATTATTATCGTTATTATCGCATATTTTGTATTTTAAAGGAGGAAGTTTCTCAGAGGAGGTCAGTTATTTGACTCTATACTCATGCACTCGAAGCGTTTGGTTATTTTTACCCTGTATCTTGGTTTGACAAGACGAAGGATCACTCGCTATGTTTAAGATGGGGAGCCTGCTTGCCTTTGGAACAGTCTATCTCCTGATGCATATGTGTGCTTGGGCACAGGAAACCTCCGAAGAAAGCTCTGTACGTTTTACCGTAGAATTTTACGTTGAAGTAATTACTAGCTTACTCGACCAACTGTAGGTTGTCAGTTTGTTTTCTTTCCTTATTTTTTTCTCTCACTCTTTCTGCCGTAAGGAGTAGTTTATTCCTAATTTCTCATTTGGTATTGGAGATTTTACTGATCTACAATCCTCGTCACAAATCTTGAAACACTGGTGCGATTTTCCCCTCCCCAATGTTGATTTGGATTTTCAGTCATTTCAGTGCTCCAAAATAAGCTCGGCTCAACATTGGGGAAGGAGAGGGGCACATTTGAGTGAGAACAAAGGTGTGAAGAGTGAATGTAAGAAATCTAGAGAAAATTCAAGACAAATGGCTCCTATCTCAACGATTTGTGACGAGTATTGTAGGTCTTCTTACGATCCGGGCTGTTCTCACTGATTTGTTGCCCTGGTTTGGCCTTTACGGCAAGTGTTTTTTTTATACAACTTTATGTTACCAGGGCGTCAGTGAGTTGGACATGTGCGTTTATTACCAATTGTTCTAAAAGTGTGTCAAGAGTAAAACTAAAACTGTGAGAAGGAAGTATATCTAGTCCTCATTAGAGGAGTTATATCACGATTACGCTGTCTTATGTGGTTTATTTTATGTCAAAACTTGTTATCCCTGCCTAGAAAAAGGGTACAGACGTAACGATACTGACATGACGAGTAACAGTATCTTTATTGTGCCTTACTCTCCATATGGAGGTGTCGGTCCGTTTGCAATAAAGGTCTTACATTTGAGTGACAGTAACGTCTAACTAATGATTCACGCACTTTAAAGTAATCAAAGGTTTTCTATTGACGAGTGGTCCAGAGATCGTAAAGTATCTTTACCCCATTTTTCAATTAATAGGCCTTACAAACCTTTTTATTAGTTTTACCAGACAAATTATTGATTTAGGACAACTACGGTGGTTAAAATATTCCCATTTACAGTAACTACCTTTTAAGAAGCTTTGCAACGATTTTCTACTTTAAAACCCTTGGAAACAATGCATGTCAACCCCAAAATAATGTTTAACAGTTTCCATTTAATTACTCTACCACTGTACCTCAACTAAAACATACTGCATGTCTTTGGCTTTAGATGACCAGAACGGAAACTTGAAAAAATTGCCATGGGCCAGCTTTTTCAGGTTGAGCTCCTAATTTTTGAAAATTGAGCGAAAAACCGATTATGCTTTGCTTTCTCTTTGATAGAATCTTTCTTTTAGAGTTCCAAGCAAGAGAAAACATGACTAAGAATGCATAGCTGTAATTTCAGCTCAGCTTTGACTAGACAAATGTAGAAATCACTTTCTCAAACTCATTAATAATTCATAAAGAAAATTCAAAGGAAATTAATGTTTAATGAGTGTTTGGATATCGGATGAAAAACTGCTCATTTTTGCATCCTTAATTTCTCCTTCAAAAATGATTTTGTTTGAGAAGAAATATCAAACATTCGACACTGTGTTTCATCACCAGATGAAACACCTCGAAGTTCGTCAAAAATACTCCGCTACGCGTCGTATTTTCAACTCTCTTCTCGGTGTTTTATCTGGTGATGAAACACTGCGTCTCATGTTTGATATATTACATGAAATAGCCCTTTAGGGGGACCATTGTTGCTGAATTTTTATAGAAAAGGTTACCTGGTAAATTGGTTCTACTGTACAGCGAGTTCGCTGCACGGACTCAGGAGCACATTGTTGGGACGGAGAACTATCTTTTGTTTTTATTTAATTTTTAAATGGTGCTGAAAGAGGGTCAAGTTCGGGCGAGGATTCCGATGAATCTGACGTGGAGACTGTGCAAGAGCCAGTGGAGAGGGCTGCCGAAGATTCTGACACGGAAGCGGAACAAGATACAGCCTCACCAAAATAAACACTTTTTTATTTGTTGTTTTCATTCGGCCGCGTATGAAAATAATGAACGTTTATGATTTTAGATTACGATTCTCTATAAAACAAACTGAAACGTCATGAAACAATTTTGAGCAATTGTAAGTATTCCATTCTCAAAATCTTGATTACCTTTCTAATTTCAATAGATCGTGCCTGATTAACAACGTGTATGTTTTAATAGACTACGATAGTGATACTTTTTTTACAAAATGGAGGGTCTGTAAAAGGGTTTGGGTTTTGTGTCTGGGCTAGAATAAAGTTTATATAATACAAAATACAACTGAACGTGGTCTTGAATATATGGTTGGGGGTTTAGAGTCCTAGCGGCAAATCCTACCAAAGTATTTACAAATGCACTCACCCGGGGTCCCGGCGCGACCTAAAATTCCTTTTTTTTTTTTTTCGTCTGATCCCCCATTATGCTTGTCAATTACGGCTGATCCCCCCTAAAGGTCTTCAAAAAACCATGTGATCCCCCCCTAAATACTCCGACCCCCCCCAGGCGATAAATAATGACCGGTCCCTTAATTGGCAACTAACTTTCCACCCACCGAAAAGATCTTTTTTAAGCATTTAATTTACCCTGTAAGGACACCACCACAGAAAAGCATTTTTCTCTCGAATGAAATCTCGGCGAGATCTAAAATAACATCTGCTGAAATATTGTTATTACAAGGATTTGACTTAGTTAACGTCTGTTTAAACTGGGAGAACGCACGTAGATTAAAAAAGAACAAGTATCTTTCCTGATAAGGGGCGTCGGCTTTATCTAAGTATAGATAATCAGATCATCAAACCCTTGTAACTAAAAAAAAAAAAAAACCGCTGATGGGTTGTTTTGTTTTCTTTTCGGTAGAATAAACAGACTGCCTCTGGACAAATAGGAGAGGAACCACCTCAATCTGTATTTTCATATCATACACTCTTTCCGGTGAGTACTTTTGAATTGCCTATCGTGGGAGCAAGTCTCCCTTTAATAAAAACAAGGGGCCATGTTGCTTCTATGTCACTTGGAATTTAACGACTGCAGACAATTCGCATCGTTTTACTGAGTCGATTCGAGCCTTTTCAAATAAATTCTTAGCCCCATTATCGCTTTCTCACGGTGGGAGAGGCCTAAAGGGAACAAAATGGACGTACATGCGAGAAGGAAGGGTTTCTTCAAAAGCGAGCTTTTCTATCTTTTTTTTCTCGATAGTCTTTATTCCGATCAAGTCACTTGTCAAGGGGTACAGGTGTACTAACCCCTCATGCACCAACAGAGCACTGTACTGTTGGTTCGATGTTGAGGCAGTAAGGACCTAACGCAGCCGCCCTGAGGAGCTTTGCTCAAGAAAAAAAATCTCAGCAGGCGCCGGAAATTGATGCCCTGGTACGCGATAGAAAGGTGTTTGCTTGGTGTCATAAAATTAATTAAGACCGGAACATAATAAGTAAACCAGACACCAAGTATCCGCGAGAGACGCGTCATTTGAGCGCGAGGCAAGGCGAGGAGCCAGCATCCCACGCAACCGTTTTTTTTGCGGCGTGACCTTTCTGTTTAAAATGAAAAAGATTTTGATCATTCCAAATGTATCTTAAAAATAAAAGCTCGCGTCATCTACCCGTAGAAAGTAATTTACATGATAAACAAATCCAGATCGGACTGCCGGTGATTTGGACGGGGCACGCCAGGCTTAAAAGACATTACTTTAAAGCATTTTATATTTCCTTTGTCACTTTGATATTATTTTTGAAGGAGCGACCAGTATTTCATGTGGAAATGTGTGACAAAGCGCCGCAAAAACTTGTTTCCAGTGCCGCTCAAATGAATGGACGGCAGCGTACATGTACGATTTTTTTTGTTTTTGAGGGTCAGGCAGCGATCATGCGATGAAACCGAGTTAAATTCTTACTAATTAATTAATATTCTACCTTAGACTTTCAAAGTTCAAAAGCGCTGTGGTTTTGATTTCGAAACCATTTGAAGTGATCTGAAGGCGACCGTCGACGGTATGAGTCTTCGTTTCCCATTTCGAGTCTGTCGAGGGTTACAACCCCCAAAAGCATTGGCATGCACTCAAAAAAGAAATATGTGAACTCCGGCCGACGGGTTTCTCCAAAAATGAAATATTTAGGAGATTTCCTGACGAAAGACGTGGCAACGCGGGAACTTGAACCCGCCAAATCGGCCTATGCCGTAGTGGAATTCAACATGATGCCAGCTACGTTGTACGTCGCTTCCACGTTCGTTTGATCACTGATCTTCTTCGCCAGAATATCATTCCAACGGATGGCCTTGTAAATTCTGTTACGGACTTAAGTTACATATTAGTGATATTAGACTTGAGGTAAGTTTGTTTTTAGTCAAATTATTCCCATTACAGTGAGGTATTTCTGTTTTCTGGTCACTTCAATTTAAAGAAAACATTTAGCTTTAATATTATTCTGTTTCTCTTCGGTAGTCAGTTTATTTATGGGCGTTTGTTATCTAATGGCAAAATCTAATTTTTATCATAATTATTTTGTACTAACTGGTTTTGTTTCTCTTGGGTAGTCAGTTCATTTATGGGCTGTTGTTATCTGATGACAAAACCTAATTTTTATCATTATTATTTTAAACTAACTGGTACTGTTTCTCTTGGGTAGTCTGATGACAAGACCTAATTTTCATCACAGTTTTCATTTTGTACTAACTGGTTCTGTTTCTCTTGGGTAGTCAGTTCATTTATGGGCTATTGTTATCTGATGACAGGACGTAATGTTCATCACAGTTTTCATTTTGTGCTAACTGGTTCTGTTTCTCTTGGGAAGTCAGTTCATTTGTGGACTGTTGTTATCTGATGACAGGACCTAATTTTCATCTTTTTCATTTTGTACTAACTGGTTCTGTTTCTCTTGGGTAGTTAGTTCATTTGTGGACTGTTGTTATCTGATGACACAACCTAATTTTCATCATTTTCATTTTGTACTAACTGGTTCTGTTTCTCTTGGGTAGTCAGTTCTTTATGGGCTGTTGTTATCTGATGACAGGACCTAATTTTCATCATTTTCATTTTGTACTAACTGGTTCTGTTTCTCTTGGGTAGTCAGTTCATTTGTGGACTGTTGTTATCTGATGACAGGACCTAATTTTCATCATTTTCATTTTGTACTAACTGGTTCTGTTCCGGATTATTATTATTATTGTTTATTGCTATTATTATCAACATCATTATTGAGTGATCTAAAACTATTTTTCTTTGATACAGGGCTATAATTTGCAGCAGGTGATGGAGTGTACACTGATTTGCTTTAGGTTTCTTTCAGAAATTCACATAGAATTTGCTTTAGTTACAATTATTGCTTGGGTAATGAGATAAACTTTCAGCGACACAGTGTGACAAAATTGTTTTAACCAAAATCGTGATAACACCATCAAAACGTTTTTATTATTAGTATTATTCGTTAATTTCAAACGATGCTAATATATGTATGTAAAAATGAAATTATCTTGCCGCTTGTTACCGAGCTATCCGTACTGTAAAACGTCAAATGAAAAGTTATAACACTCACATGTCTATTTATGATTTTGTCAATGAAAATCGACGACAAAAAATTCCCTTCTCTGGCTCAATTAAGAAGCTTGGGTTGCAAAAAAATGTGTTTGTAAAACACAACCGAGTCAATCATCGTACGGTAAATAAATCAAAGCATTAATTACTTAAGCAAAATAGAATCTTAGGGTTAACGTCCCGAGATTACTTCACACCCTCTGGTTGCCTTCCCTTCGCCGTGCCCTGTGAGCTTAGCCTGTGAACAGGCTCTCTGTCTGGGGGAAAAATAGCAAGGAAAGGGAAGGGAAGGGGGGAGAGAGCCTGTAGACACACGTTTGAGGCCGCTATTCCGCCCTCTTGTAATTATCTTGCCGAACATCTGTCAGCAAGATCGTTATCTGTCAATCAATTTCGCGCGTGAGTAACTCCTGGGAAAATTATTATTAAAAGGGAAAACATCCGTGTTTTGCTTCGTCTCAAAACAAAGTGAAATGGACCGCGAGCCTAATTGTCGATTTTGAAAAAAATCGTTGATCTCCGGTAAGAGAATTAATACGGTGCAGGTCGTTGGCGTTTCAAGAAATAAGACCTTGCTGGTTGACAGTGGCCAAGACAGCGTTGTACTAGCGCAAGCATTTGATTGCTCAAGATTTCCTCTTGTGCAAGGAGAAAGCTTTTCCGATTTAAGCTGCTTAACTTGTGCTCATCGCGCCGTTCGTCTTGCTAGTTCAGTTTCTAATTCAACAAGCCCCTGCAATGAGCGAACTTGGAATGCGAAAGGTACAGATACTATCATGACTTCTCCAGAACGTGAACCTCCAAAGACAAGTACAAAGAAATCAACAGCGCTTCGATCGCCGACAGAAATTACACCTTAGGGTATTTATCCCGCATTTATAGCAATAAAAGAGGGCGGTAGGCCTACACGGCGTTTACCTCACGCCAAAATGCTGCCTGTTCCCATAAGTTTTTTCCTCTGCTCGGTAGATTATGCTCTGGAAGGTTCTACATTTTCACTGAGCAAATATGGTTTTAGCCGCTGGTTTCACACTGAGAGGTCATGGCATACATATCGATTTACTGTGGTTTTTGTCTCTGGTCGGCAGGATTTGCCCTCTCTGATGCAAGAGCATTTTCTTTGACCTCTTTTGAAGCGCAAAGCTTTTTATTGCGGCTGAATAAGGGTCGTACTTTTCTCCAAAGTGCCCTCTGGATCTGAATAACTAAGCGATTTTCTTTAGTCCGTAAATGTAATGTTTTTCTGAAATGTTGTATCACGCTGGGCCCAGGTCGTTAGTTTTCTTTGCAGAATGTTTAAAATGATCACGGATAGTAATTTACAGATCCAAAGTTATAAGATTCAAGTGCAGCTTAAACCGAAGCTACATCAACTATGGAGAATTGCATTTTGACTCGGTAAACTCCAGCCTAGTGTTTTTCTATCCATTAGATAGTGTGAGTCTTTTGACTGGAGCGCGTAGTTCCTCCCTTGGTAATAGCTTTTGAACAAGCTTAACAGTCTTTGGAGTGTTTTGTTATTTCCAAACGCGTGTTACGTGCCGACCGAAAAGCCGATGTCAATCAGACCTTTCAACAGTCAGTGTTCTCGCCAATAGGAACTTGCATCAGGATCTGATGCACAGCGGGTGCCGTGGAACGGCGGTCCCAAAGGCTTGTCCACAGGCCTTGTCGCTTTTCCCTCTCCCTAATTCCCCGCTCGACCAAAGGCCTGTTCACAGGCTATGTGAGCTTTGCGTTAGATCTCACGGTTTATGATTATAGAATCAAGTCGCTATTAAAATGAAGCTGTTATAAGTCGGTTGTAGTTACTGATGTCCAAGAATTCCAAATGTTCCTGTTTCGGGAATCGTAGTTTCTCTGGGATTAACTCATTCTCACTGAGTAAACATTAATTTATCACAGGTAAGTAAATGTATTTAATTTATCACATCGAACCTCGTTGCTGACGCCGTTTTGTGTAATGTTCCTGCGGACTACACAGTAATAGACAGAAGATAGTATACTGTTCGATCGACATAATTGCAAATAATTTCATTCCTCCCGTAAGAATAGATTTAGGCCGACATTAAAATGTTTCTCGGGTGGTAAACCTCAGCGTCTCGTAATATTTTCTGAGTCGGCAAAGGGTTTATGTTTCATTTTCAATTTCTCTTTAGTAACAGATATAAACCCCGCTCTCGTTAAGGTTTGTTTCTTGATCTTCGATTATCCCATTCGAGTGATAGTTATTTCTCTTGCTATCGCCTTCTATAATTATGGTTGTGCGATCAATAATTAAAGAGCGGGGTTTTTTTACAGTAGAGCCATGCCTTGAATACTATTTCGCGTGAGAAGTAACAGTTGACGTGTGTCTCCACGCGAGTAAAGCCAACAAATTCGCGTCCGTATCTGGAAAACCTTTTTATTATGTCAAGAAATGTCTTATTTACACGTCTTGTGATTCCCACGCCGGATGTTTTTGGATGCCGGCAAGTGCGAAAAAAGTAATTACCGAGGATTCCAAAGTAACACCTCAGTCGTATGAAGGCGCGAATTGTGATCTCCCGTTTCAGTTAATCATAAGCCATGGGTAGATTCAATCTACCCTTAGCCTAATTTGCATAATTTTTTTTGGTGAGCAAAGCCCGTCACGGATCGGTACAAGAACGACCGAGCAAGTTGGTTCAGAGAGCTGGTTTATTACAGGACATATTTTTTAATGGACTGAAACTCTGACAGTCAGCTCCCAAGTCAACTTTCGGTTGCTAAAAGAGAATTATATTGCCAATTAAAGCGTGACCTTGTTAACTTATGAACAATGTTAAGATGGAATATGAAAGTAAGAGACATTTTATATTCAAGAACAACAACTTTATTATTTTAACCATACAAGCATAAAAAAACTATAAAATTATGCAAACGTGAAAAAGTTATTGGATGCGGAGAAACTGAATAACAGCACACAACACGCCACCCAACGCAAAACGAACTAATGTCTACTAACAAAAAAAGGAAATACAGAAAATTAGGCAAGCACTATTTTTGAGAAATATGAAAGAAAATCAGAATACTAAACGAGGACCTCTATTCAAAGACTTTCAATTTGGGAGTCCTTATCTATATTATAGTTGTACTATAGGTTCCAAAGCCTTTTCTTACAACACCCAAGTAAACAATTATTGGGCCGAGATTGAGGGTGACAAATACCTTCTAGGATTATGTACCTCGAGCTCACTTACGGAAATTTGAGATGGGGCGTTAACTGAATTGAAACCGTAGTTATTAGACAAAAGTTAAACAGTCTTAATTCTTGACGCAAAATTTCTCTGCCAGTAACCATAAATTCGAGATAATGTCATATTTAATAAATAAATAAACAAACAGGGTAAGCCAAACTAAATCGCCTATTAAAGCACTTCAAAAACAACGTAAAATTTACAAAAAAATATGAAGAAACGACTCACGTAACGACTCTTCATTTCTCTCTTAGAAATCTCAACTATTATCTCTAACTAACCTAGATAGATGTATAGGCCGTTTTGTTTCTCTTCAGGCCAAAGTCAGGTAATTTATATTGCATATATATATATACACAGAAAATGCTGGATTGCCCTGAGGTGAGGCTGCAAACTATGAAAAAAGCGCGCATTTTAACTCTTGACACACAGGTGGTTTCTTCATATTTATTTATTTGTATTTATTTTATGGCTCAGGGAAAAAAGGAATACCGGTACAAGAAAAAAGCAAGACATTACATGGTAAATGATGCCGAATAGCAAGGAGAGGTGCACGAACCGAGAGGATCAAATGCGGTTACAATGTAGCCACCCAGCCTAAAAAAGATGTAGCTCCTTGAAGAAATAAAGTAGTGCTGAAAAATATGAATTTTTTGTTAAACTCAGACTATGTCGTTTAATGCGATTATGCGCATTGAACGGTACTTAAGGTGGCTCTATTGGATTTTTCAGGCTAAAATATACCTACAAGTTTGAGCATTAACTACGTCGCAATAAACCAATACAAATATCTAGGAACATGATCGTCGCATCTTTATCAGACGAAGGTAAAAATTTGTTATGAGCAGTGCTATGTTTTGTCAAAGGAGTTGTCATAGCAAGAAAATAACTTCATTATCAAAATCATTCATAGGAGCTTGTTCCTCCAACAGCTGCCTCAATGCTCGTCAAGTTTGAGCAAAATCTGTGAGAGCGTTATAGAGATATTTTGGGATGAAATTTTATGTTGAGACATCAGTACAGTAAAAAACTGAATAACATAGATGTTCGGCTGTTATCTAACGACTTCATTACTTTGCTATGGAAAAAGCAATATTAACGTAACACCGATCATAACAAATCAGTTTCATATTCATCTAATACAGCTGTGGTGATCATTCTTTCAAATCTTTGTTAATGCAGAAGTAGTAAATGCTCAAACTCAGTTGGGAGTTATTGCCCCTAAAAATTCAGTCCAGCCACCTTGTGGGTTAGGTACTGAAGGGTTTTTTTTACCAGCAAATAAACGCATGCGATGACTGCTGTGCACGAGTGACGAGACTGCTCCTTGTGCGTTACAGTGTCAAGAATTTCGAGTAATCTAAAGCGAACACGTGTGTTTATTTCTCGGTAAATGACAAACTAATATTCTCTAACACTTTTTAAGTTCAATCTAACTGCTCTGCAACGTAAATAAATCTAAATAAACTTTCATGGGAAATGTAATAAAATCTAAGCTATTCAAAGAGAAAATTACCGAGAAAAGATAAAACTGACCCAAGAGACTTATGTGCCCGGCCTTAACACCGTCCATCGGCCAAAAAAAAATTACAGCGAAAGTGAAACGCTTGAAAGTTTTTAATTAAATATTGAATTGATAGACCAAAACACCGTCCATCTATCATTTAAAACTTTTTTTGGAAAATGTAGCATTGTTTATTGAACAAAAATCCTCCTTTAGTTTATTTTCAGTTGTTTTTGGTACGGACCGTGAAAGAATTGTACGCCCTAAGATTAATATAATGCAGGTGCATTTATTTCTTAAGCGCGATCTCTTAAGGCGCCGTAAACATATTCACTTTTTCCCCGCTTACGTCAACATTGACGTTCTCTTTATCGTCTTCCATTGTGGGACCGGGAAATTGCAAAACTGTGCAGAATGTCAATTTTGAGAAAACAAAGTCTATAATCACGATAATTGGACGAGGCTGTTGGGACCTTTCACACTGGTTCTGCCTGCGGGTACAACTAGTTGCTTTACAGATAGAGAAACAGAGACTGGAGAGAGAGACTGGTTTTTCATGTGTTCATGTTAAACACTAAAAGCGATAACGTTTTCCATAATGTGTAATTAGCGTTATCACATTATCGAAAGGCTAATTTTTTTTCCTGAGTAAGAGGCAGTCTACCAAAGTACGCTAGCAATATATGTAAAATTTTATTACCCGTATCTGTAAAGCGGAAACGGGTTATCTTAAGGTCGCTAATGATAGCCAGGAATATCATTTTCAACCTCGTTACCAGGGTTCCCTCCTACCCGCCCCTCTCGCTCCGTAGGGCGGGTAAGAGAGAACCCTGGGAACAAGGTTGTATCATTTTAAGGCTTTAATCTATAGCACGAGACATGTCCAGGTAACCTTGCATAATTTTACCTCTCCCCGTATAAGAGAACGCGGACACTCTTTGCAGCAAAAAAAAAAGAAGCAAAAAAAGCTAATTAACCTCCCATATGCGGAATAAGTAAAACACATTTAGACCAGAATCCACTTAACTCTATATCAATATTCTAAAGTACGGTCAAACCCTTTCTTTCCCCATCCGTATGGGCCATTTGCACGATGACGTCTATTTACTACTAAGACCAGAATTCATTTCGTTTTTTTCTTTTATATTTAAATTTGGTAATCCCTGTGAGGTTTGAGTAACAGAAGCCCTAATTTGAACAAGCAAACGAAACCCGTGCAAATAGCCTATTGAGCAGTACCCTGGGTGCCAGTGGCTTTTCATGCACGTTTTCCGGTTTCGGTCAAGTCTTAAAAAGTGATCCGCGTAACTTCGCCACTCGTTCCCCGTCGCACGCGAAAAAAACCCTCTGGTACCCAGGGTAATTGACCAGGTGTCCGCAATGCGGGGTTTGACTGTAATTCTATTCTCGAACAAAAAAACGAGTTCTAACAAGAGAGTGGCACAGTTTTAAAAGTAAGGATGTTACGTTCTTTTTTTACAACTCCCCTTGAAAGTTATTAAAAGAGTACTTCAATTGGCTCGAAGATTTTCCAGCTTCTCCTAAGCGGACACCTATCCCTGGTTCCGAGGTTAGACTTTATATGACATTTAATGGGAAGAACATGTTCACTATGAGCGTCATTTTTTTGCTGACGATTGAAAGAGCTCGCATTGCACTATATTATCACTGCTCCGATATTGCGAGCAACGATTTAAGTCTTGGACACACGATGCAATTTAGTCATTGCGCAGAAGGAAAACAGGTCCAGGTCAAAACAAGAACAAGTGCCTTTAACACAGTCCTTTTTGTTGCAGCTGCTCTCGGAAATGATGTCTCATTTGAAAAAATTATTAAATCATATGTTTGTAGAGGAGAAAAAATTGGCTAAAATGCTTCCAAGACAGAGTGCAGCACCCAGACTGTGCATCTTTATTTGGCAATTAAAAGACATTCGAGGAGTTTCTGTTAAAAATAATACCTAATATGTTAGCAATTAAAAATGAGAAAGAAATGCTATAATTTAAGAAATCATTTTTTTGGAGGATAAGACTGAAAAGGGCAAAAAATAGAGAATATTACACCCCTCTTATGGCTCTTGAGTCTACCCAGTGATAATTTAACCTTCCTGGTACCTGGCGAATAGTTTGTTTCTACTCGGCTAATGTTTTGCTTCCCAGGTCGCTTTCTGTTGTGAATTCTACAAAACCAGCGCATTTCGTTTTTCACATTTGTTTAAAAGAAGCAAAAATATTTTCCACTCGGTCTGATACAGAGGGGTGTAATATTTACTAGCAGCATATATAATTGTAATCTATACTTAGAATAACTGCATCACGAAACTGCAACTTACAAATAAAACCTTAAATGACTGCATAATCCTGGACGATTCGACTGCTGCGTCGACTGAAATCGCTCTTGAAGCGAATTAAGAAAATTCTTCAAATTGGTTTTTGCAGGGAAAAAATTGGCCTCCTCCATGTAGTTCTATTCAATTGACACGCTATAAAAACAAGTTTCAAGTTGTACACATGCATATTTTTTCTTCTTTCGAAAGTAATGGTTAATTGACAGCGGATTAAAAACAAGATCATGTTTGTATCCCGTCATTTGTCTATTACAAGACACCATAATAACAACGGAGAGAAATTGCATTGCGCCCTTTTAAATCAAACACTTCTTTACATCCAATTAGCTAAAAGGGCAGGAAAAGTCTTTTCAATTCCCCTTAATCGCAAAACTCTTATGAGATTGAAATGAAGTACGAAACCTCAAGAAATTATCAAGGATAACTATTCCTTTTTTTTGTAGTGCAATTGGATTTTTAAATCGGTAATTCAGCACATTTGCATAAAGCTAAGTATGCCTGTTTTTCTCCAACGAAGAAGTTATTGGTTTTAGCTTAAAAAATTAGTTTCTCAGAGGTGGCCAATTCTTGTTCAACTGGAGATATCCTTTAAAAGACACCTGAATTTTTGATCCTGTATTTCGGTTCGAGCCAGACGAAAGGACAGACACTATGTTCAAACTAGCAACTTTGCTTGCTCTTGGAACAGCCTATCTCTTCATGTTTGCTTGGATAGAGGAAGTATCAGCAGAGGGTGCTACCGTAAGTTTATCTTATATATAGAGGCAACATTTAGCTGCATTGTGACGTTAAACCAAATAATTGCTATTATTATAAAAGTATCTCAAACTTTTCTTCTCAAAGCCGTTTAGTATTCTCTTTAGCAGAGCTATGGAACGATTTTTTGGTAAACACAAGTTTATGATAAGGTCTACGTTCCCTATAGTCGCCCTCGTTGCATAATGAGCCAAGGGTTTTTTAAAATGTTAAGCTGTGTTGTGTGGCTTATTTTATGTCAAACGTCGACAGAGGCACCTATCTAGGAAGGTAACCTGTTATTGATGCCTAGAAAAAGAGTACAGACGTAACGATACTGACATTGCGAGTGGTTCAGATATCGTAAAATGCCTTTACGCGCGATTTTTCATTTGCACTCTATTTAAGAAGGTGCAGGGAGAGGAGGAAGGCGCTTATTTGAGGGGGGGGAGCTGGTTTGATGTTATGGCCTAATGGATGGGCGCCTATTCGGGGATGGGTGCTTATTAGAGCGTGGGCGGTTATTCGAGGAAATATCATTTGTAACTAACCGGAAGCAGATTGCAGGCACTGGAAAGATCTAGAAGTCATAGAAGTTGAACTCGCGACGCTGTGGTTCTTTATGTACCATTAGTTAAGCTTCGGTAAATTACGGGCAAGAAAAACGTGCATTTTGTTTTACAACATTGCTGCGAAACGAGTTGAAAAGCGATGTTGCGCGTTTTACCACCTACATTCAAACCTGTTAACAGCCTGATTTGTTGCGCAACAACTCTATTTTCAGCAATGTTGCAAGACAAGTGGCAATTTTTTTTTATTACCCGTACCTTTTAGCCGCACGGGTTCATGGGGTACCTTGATGTGGGGAACGACTTCATTTGTTTGTTTGTTTTCAATATATTTAAATTTGAATCGAACTGAATTTTCAACACACCTTTCAATATTTTTTTCGATTTAAATTTTCCTCCCAGCCTCCCCCCCCCCCCCCCCAAACAAATTCTTCATTAAGCATTTTAGGCATTTTCTAAGCAATTTAGGCTTTTTCTAAGCATAAATCATCAGATCATCAATCCCCTGTCAGAATAAGAACAATCGCCGATAGTATGATTGTTTTCTTTTCGGTAGAATGGCCCAACTACTTCTGTACTGGAGCAGCTAGCAGGTGGTCCTGAACAGACTGTGTTTACATACCCATTTTTTAAGGTGAGTACTTTAATTTTGAGTTGCCTATCGCGAAGGCAAGTCTCCGTTTAAAAACAAGGGGCCATTTTGTTTCTATTTCAATAGGAATTTTAAATCCCCATTCTCTCTTTCTCACCAGAGGAGAGGCAAGAAGGGGAACAAAAAAGGGTATACCATCCGGGTCTCCCCGGAGGGAAGCTTTTAAATCTTTTGTCGACCATTCGCATGTCTTGGATTATCAGGAGAAATTCGTGAGATTTTCTTTATTGCGATCAAATTACTTTTCTAGGGGTACAGGTGTACTAGCCCGTTACTAACGGAGCACGGTAACTTTATTGACCTGATATCGGGGTCTGTACGTGAACGATCGAGCGAGTGATGTTAGAAAGTGGTCAGATCACATGACATTTTTCTTAAGGGAACCGAAACGCTTCCGGTCAACTTCCAAGATAAATGTTTTGTGCGATACCAGGGACTTTAGTATCGCTTCCCCCTTTAAAAGCAAGAGCTTGAGCTGAATTTAATAAGGTTAAGATGCATGGCATAAGGGGCATTTTATACTTAAAATCAACAATAACTTGGAAAAGAGTATCTACTGGGGAAGCAATATTACAGCTCGCACCCCGCAACAAAAACACGTACTCGTGTCTGCCAACGAATAATGGAAATGAAGCAAATTGAGCAAACGCTATAATAGAGAAGTAGGACAGAATCGAAAAGAAATAAGAATACGAAACGACGAGTTCTATTCAAAGACCTACAATGAGAGATCATAATTCCTACCAGGTCAAAAGCTCAAGTAAAGAATCAAAAACCCTTTCTAGGAAGACCTCGATTTCACTGAAGGGGGGTTGAGAGGTCCTTAATTGAATTTCTGTCAGTAACCATAAAGTCCAATGTATGTCATAAACACATAAATTTATAAATAAATTCGAGAACTCGACAAAAGCTCTTAAGCGCTTCAAAAATAATGTTAGATTTACAAAGAAAAATGTAAAAGTTCAAATCATTGTTCTCCCAGTCGGAGTCAAGTCAATTATACCACCGAAAAGTAAATATAAATAAATGAGTCCTCATTTCTCTCCTTTTAAACTCTTACACCTTTTGAAACTAGCATACATGTATACGATAGTTTATTTCTCTTCGGGCTAAATTCGGCTATTTTATATTGCTTAGACTCAGAAAAAGCCTGGATTTATTGTCCTAAAGCAACCTCGTCCCAAGGGTCTTCTCCGAATTTTCCAATATACAGCCGCCTCACCACCGCCATATGTGGAAAACGAGAAGACCCTAGGGACGAGCTTGGCCCTGAAGTGAGTCTGTAAACTATGCCGGGGAAAAAGCATGCATCTGAACACTTAACTCATAGGCTACTTCTTCTTATTTTTATTTATTTTTATTTTTTGACTCAGCGAAAGAGGGAATACAGGAAAAAGGCAAGAAGTTATATGGTAAATGATGTCGAATAACAAAGAGAGGTGCACCCACCGAGGATCAACGTAGCCACCAAGCTACTGAGAAAGTGTAGCTCCTTGAATAAATAAAGTGCTGCTGAAAAAATATAAATGTTTTCTTATAGTTATACTAAGTCGGTTTTCGCGAATACTTTGGCTAGTTTGGATGTTTCGGGCCAATAGCTTCCTAGCTGTTTCAGCATGACTGATGACTACGTCGCCATTAAACATAAATGTATAAAAAAGGCCACCATTTTTATCAACGGTGAAAATTTGTAATGAGCAGTGTTATGATGACGACAGAGTTTTCATAGCAACGACGTTGTTGCCTACTTTTCTCACAGCCGTATTTGAACTTGATTTTTTTTCCAAAATCGTTCACAGCAGCTTGTTCCTCCAATAGACCATTTGCGCGATGTCTTTTTACTACTAAGAGCAAGACCTAATTTGCCCAAGAAAGCAATACCCCGAAGGTTTCTGGTACAGTAAAAACTGGCGACTAAAAACATGGTTTTAAGAACCGGTTAAGCAGTAAAACTTGCCAGTTAGGCCCCCTCTATACAAGAACCTGTTTAGCCTAAAATTTGAAACATGCGTTATTTTCTAAAATCTATAAACAATTTACTGTACGGTTGGATAAATATTCAATATTCAGCAGGATCCTCTTCACCCCAACTGCTATGTAATGGTACTGATTTAGATTTTATGTACGGAATAAGCTGAAAAGTACCACTAAATACTCTTAGCTTCAATGTGTTTTCTTCTTCAGAACCTATTTAAGAACCTACATAGCCGAAATTTGTGTTAATTACCGTTTATGTAAGAACCTGTTTAAGCTAACTTGGGTACACCTCAAGTAGTTTAAGGCCCAGGACTAAGGCGTTTACTTGTCGAAAATGATTTATTGGCCATAACTTTGGCATAGATGATGGCGCTGAATCAGAATTTGGCACACATAAAGAACTCACCATCATTAACATTTTAAAGTATAAACATTGTGTTAATAAGTCACGTGATAAGTCACGTGACCATTTTGCTAAAAATCGTGAATTATTGACCAATTGGTGGCCGGTTTAAGAAAAGAAATTGGGAAAAACATTTTTCTAATTTATATTAAATATTTCTATCCGCTTCACGTTTGGAATGACCGTCCATTGCACTTCAATAAAAAACTATGAGGGAAAACATTATTTTAAATGCCCAAATTTAAACTTGAATTATTTAAAACTTTAATTTTAAACGACGCGTACATTCATTCGAAGCATTGAAAGTTAGGTATGTTTAACCTCTTTCAGAAATACCAATTTCTGAAAGGGAAATATCTCCAATATCTCCTAGCGAGAGATATTGTCAATTAGTAAAATTCCGCTGGTGGTCTATTATCAATGCTGCGTTCTGATTGGTTGAGCTACTACTATGCTATATGTTATATCGTTATAGCCCGCTAGTAGCGAAAAGCGCGGGCTTTTTGGCGGCAAAAAATGATGAAACGCTAGCTTTAACTAGCTAAAGTTGTTTTGTCTCGATATCTTTGACCAACTACCTGGATTTTACTAAAACAATTATTCGTCTCGCCCTCATGGCCTCTGAGTCAATAGCCCATGACTCAGAGCCCATTCGGGCTCGAGGAATAATTGTTAATTATTCATATGCTCAGAACACATCTTTGACCCAGGCCTTAAACCCCTTGAGACGATGCAATTTAGTCATTGCGCAGAAGGAAGTCCCTTTAACACTTGACAGTCCTTTTAGTTGCAGCTGCTCTCAGAAATAATGTCTTATTTGAGGTCTTTGAGAAATTTATTCAATCATTTGATTGTGGGGGAGAAAAAACTTGGCTAAAATGCTTCGAAGACGAAGAGAGCGGCTCTTCTAAATATGCATCTTTAATTGACAATTAAAAGATCATGTTCAAGGAGTTTCTGTTAAAAATAATGCCTAATAGGCCAACCAGTTAAAAGAGGGAAAGAAGCCTGCTGTGAAAAATAGTTTTTTGAGAAATGTTATCATTTATTTGGCGGATAAGAAAAAGGGCAAAAAAACAAAGAGTATCACACCCCTTTATAACAGACCCAGTGGTCCAATTCAGTCTACCCAGTGATAATTTAACCTTCCTGGTACCTGGCGAATAGTTTGGTTCTACTCGGCTAATGTTTTGCTTCCCAGGTCGCTTTCTGTTCTGAACTCTACGGAACCAGCGTATTTCGTTATTCATATTTGTTTAAAAAAGCAAAAATATTTTCCTTTCGGTCTGTTACAGAGGTGTGTAATATTTACTCGCATCATAATTAATTGTATTCTATAATAGAATAACTGCAACTTACAAATTAGACCTTAAATTACAGCATAATCCTGGACTATTCGACTGCTGCGTCGACTGAAATCGCTCTTGAAGCGAATTAAGAAAACTTTTCAAATTTGTTTTTGCAGGGAAAAAATTGGTCTCCTTCGTGTGCTTCTATTAAATTGAAAACGCTATAAAAAACGAGTTTCAATTTGTACACATGCATTTTTTTTCTACTTTCGAAAGCCGGTAATGGTTAATTGTTGTTTGATGATTCCAATTAATGGCGGATTAAAAACAAGAACATGTTTGCATCCCGCCATGTGTCTATTGCAAGACACCGTAATAACAACTGAGAAATTGCATTGGGCACTTTTAAATCAAACACCTCTTTACATACAATTAGCTGAAAGGGCGGGGAAAGTCCTTTCAGTTCCCCTTAATATCAAAACTCTTAGATTGAATTCTGTTATTCAAAATGAAGTATACCACACTTCAAGAAATTATTAAGAATAACTATTCCTTTTGTATAGTGCAATTGGATTTTTAAATTGGTAATCAGGCTGAGCATATTTGCATAACGCTAAGTATCCCTGTTTTTCTTCAACGAAGAAGTTATTGGTTTTAGTTTGAAAAATTAAGTTTCTCAGAGGTGGCCAATTCTTGTTCAACTGGAGATATCCTTTAAAAGACACCAGAATTTCTGAACCTGTATTTCGGTTCAAGCAAGACGAAAGGACAGACACGATGTTCAAACTAGCAACTTTGCTTGCTCTTGGAAGAACCTATCTCTTGATGTTTGCTTGGATAGAGGAAGTATCAGCTGTAGATGCTACCGTAAGTTTATCTTATATAGAGAGGCAACATTTAGCTGCATTGTGACGTTAAAAGAAATAACTAACCATCATTTGGCAAAAGGTATCTCAACCTTTTCTTCTCAAAGTTTATTGTATTCTTAACTTAAGCATACAACTCAGACTCGTTGGGTCGTACAGTAACTTTCTTGATTGGTAAAAAGGACATGATTTTCAGTTGCCGGGTTAAATCTCATTTGGTCTAATATCTAACTTTTAGGAAGAGAGGACTCCGCCACAATTTTAGGAACGTCCGCGGTACTTAAAAATAACACCATTAAGGGGATGTCCACACTTGGTACTCAGGAATCAGTGTCTGAATACCGGCACAAAATGGTTTTGTGTTCACACTTTTAGTACCCGATATGTGACTCTGTATATAGTTGCTCCATTTTGCCTTGTCAGACGCCATTTTGAAACATAGGCAGCGAGCACAAAGCAGTGGACAGCCCCAGAACTAACAGAAACGTAGCCTGTGTAGCAGGTGATGGTGTTTTAGGGCCAAGGACGAAATCTCGAGGATACGCGTGTGATATAAACATGACTGGCGCCTGCTACGCGGGCTAACAGAAACCGTGGACGGTGCGCACACAGGGACTCGGTGCCCACTTTTCTGCTCAAGTACAAAGGCTCAGTCGACCTTGTACTCGGGCATACTTGTAAAGAGGGTGTGTTCACTATAGTACAAATACTTCCTAGAATAACCTGTTAGCTATTATATAAATTATAGTATTTAAGACTATTGTAATATCGTCTTTTACTGATTAAGGTCCTTGTTATTGTCGTCTTATAATGTTTTACGGGGTGTGCATTGAAAGCAACTAGGGCCACCTGCGTGAAACAATTGAAGGCAATGTTCACGTTTCTTAGTTGCCAAACTATTACAAATCAAAGTCAGTCTCCTTTTTGTGATCGTGACTTGTGATTGGCCGATTAATGCTCGGGTGACACAGCCTGTAAGAACTGTTTCTCTCACTTTCTTGGCAGGATAACCGCCCCGCATCTCCAAAAGATGTGCAAGTAAAAGGAGTGTCTAGCGAGGTAAATGTTTTTGCAAATGGAAACCAGTTATGGAAGTAAATTGAACAACACTAAGGTTTATGGCATTTTGATGTCTTGTTCTATTGTCTGCCTCTCTTTTTTGGCAGACAAGACGTCCAATAGGAGTTGACGGGCCCTTTTACCTGTTCAACTGGAAGGCGGTAAATATCACTATATAGAAAAACGTTCAGACTGGGGTAAACTGAACTAATGAATGGTATTCAAGCCATCATGGCCTCGTTTTAAATATAGGTGCGATCACCAAATGACATAATCCAAATGATCACCTGAATAATACCCACACCACAACACAGCACCTATCCTACAATGGTTTCATCAACACCAAGAAACACCCTCATTTTTTCTGTATCATCACTACAATAACTCGCAGAAACGTACAAAAGAGACATTTATCCTCAATTTTATGATAAGGTCTAGTTTCCTATAGCCTCCATCGTTGCATTTATATTATGCTACGTTTCATATTATGAGAAATAAAATCCCTTTAGTCACTTTTCTGGCAGGGCGAGGCAATTCCCAGAACATCTTCCAACGCCAACAGTGGAGCCTATTACTTGTTTTGGAAGGTAAGCTATTCAGTATTGGTGCAGCGTAGAAAAAGGGTGCAGAGGTAACGATATTGACATGACCAGGAGTTAGGATACCGTGGGTACACTGCCACTTATGAGCCCTGGGCTTATACATCCTCGTAAGGGGTTTTAGGAGGCCTTATAAGCCGGAGGGGGGCTTGTATCCTAGTGGGCTTATAACCGGAATAGAAAAAGCGCTTAGAAACAAGCTATAACAGTTCTGAACAAAAAACGTTTTTATCTTCAGGATAAATCAAATTAAGGTAATTCTTGGATGAGTGTCAAAACTACTTAGGGTTATAATCCCCGACGCCCGGCCCCTCGGTACATTTGAAAATCTAGATGGCCGGCATTAACGGTAAGACGCGGAGTTTCACTTCATTCATATCTGAATAATACAACTTTTGCTATCCAGATTTTTTTCTTATTAAGCTGTATTTTTCGTGTTGACAGAACAAGTAAGAAATACCAATTAAAAAAAATTGGGGGTTCCTTTCTCGTTCTCTCATTATGACGGATAGTTTCCTTTGTCCGTAGATTGACAGTGCCTTAAGAAGGGGGGCTTGCAATCGAGTGAGAGGAGGTCTTATATTTCCCGGAGGGCTTTTTAATATGGGATGTATTTTTTCAAGGGAAGGTCTTAAAAAACATCTGCTGAGATATAAGAATAACAGGTTATTTGACTTTTAATTTCACTGCACACTTGAAATCGAGAAATGCGCATAAATCAAAAGAGACCAGCTATCTTTTCTATATTTATCTAAGGATAGATTACCAGCTCATCAATCCTTTGTCTCTAAAAACCAACCGTCGATATTTTGATTATTTTCTTTTCGTTAGCCTGGCAAGACTCGGGACTCGGGACAAATGTCCGCGTCACAATCTGTATTTTCATATCGTCCCCTGTTTCAGGTGAGTACTTTATAAAAGACTAATCGCCGAAGAAACTCACCCTTAAAAACCAAATTAATACCGCGTCGATTACATTTTTAAACTGCTATAGAAAATCCTTCTTACCAAACCTTTTCAAATTCAATTTATACCCAGTAAAGCGATTCGCAAGAGAGAAGGGGTTCTTGGCTCTTTTTTGTTTCAAGATGGGCTGATTTATGCGTGAAGGGAACGTAATCGCGAAAGAGAGCTTTTAATTTCTACCGACCATTTAAATTTCTAGGATTACCAGAGTGTTTTCGTGCGACTTTCTTTATTCTAATCAAATTACTTGTCAAGGTGCACCGTGCCTCTTATCAACAGAGCACGGGGATCGTATACTTGATATCATTATTCATTCAAAATATTTCGCCATCTCTGATTGGCTCCAATCCCCCCGCTAATTCTTCATAACCAACTAGCGCTTACCATATTTGGTAGATGCTAGCACATCAATTCGATGGTATAAATTATATATACCATCGATCAACCTCGTTCCCAGACGCGCAACCCAGCTGTTTATTCCTGACTGAACTAAAAAAGAAGATGGCGTCCACCGCTATCCGAAGACGACATAGCTGACTCTTTTAACTAACTCTACGGAAGAAATGCAAGAATACGCAAAACATATCGCTCGATGGATGTTACTGATTTACCTTTTGAGGAGTATCTGCAAGGTAAAACATCTGTTTATATCTTTGAAACCGCGCAGGCCAAAATTTTGAAGAAAGTGTACGGGAACGCAAGCTTGTTTAGAACTTAGAAATATTTTGAGTGAATAATAAAACAATATTATTGAATTCGGCTTTGGTACGATGCGAAGAATGATGCAGATCTCACCGAGGCTGAAGACCGAGGTGGATAACATCCTCCTCGAACTGCAAAATGTCTCACACCTATAGGTGGCCTTATACCCCAAAGCATCAAGCTATCTCCCATAGCCTTAGGTGTCTAGGGTCCTTCTTAGAATCTTAGCTGTTCCCACCAAAAAGGCTTTCTGGAGCAATGCGATGATTATTATTATGATGATGAGGATGATGATGATGATTATTATTATTATAACCCAGGACCCAGTCTGAGAAGAAAGCTTTAAACTTAACAGAATATTTTGCCCTTTCCTGTGCTTATTATTATTATTATTGTTTCTTTTGCTCAGTGGAAGAGAGAATATAAGAATAAATTCAGAAGTAACTTGGTAAATGATGCCGAATAGCAAAGAGAGGTGCTCGAATCGTGGTTAAAATGCGACTGCAACGTTGCTGCTGACCTTCAAGAAAAGTGTAGTTATTCAAAGCAAAATAAACTACTGCTGAAAAACTTGTTTTTCTTTTAAGTCATACTCTTTGGTTATACGCGGGCATGTACATGAGCCTTGAAGGGTTAGAGACTGATTTGAGATTTTAAATGCGGCAAGTAAACGCAAGTGCAGCCGATGTACAACTACCTGAAGGAGGAAAAAAATGTTTTACTGAGGGTATACAGAGAAGGCTTTTAAAAAATTATGTAAAACAAAAAACCTAATCCCTTGAAAACAAAACTTACAATTGCATATAATTTTCAGCGTTGGGGAGCAAGGGTAGCGCAGTGGTGAGAGCACTCGCCGTCCAGCAGGGTGACGAATCCTGGCGTCGTTAAATTTGTTGCTGATTCTCTCTTTTGCTCCGAGCGTTTTTTTTCTCCGGGTACTCCGGTTTTCCCCTCTCCTTAAAAACCAACACTTAAAACCAACACTTTCAAATTCCAATTCAATATGGAACGCATGGATTCGTTTCAAAGAGTTCTCCTGACGCTTTTTAATTTCTTCTCAGTTTCTGTTTTTAAGTTAAAATACGCGAATCATGAAATCACTAGTTTTCACCAGATCGTAATTAAGCTACGGAATTGAAAATTATCGGAAAAGTGTTTTCACTAGATCATAACGCTTTAAGCTTCGGCTAATTACGAATTTGAATTTGACTCCGTCGCTATTGCAAACCAGCCTTAAACTATTACTTATTTGACGTTCTTATTGCCGCCGCCTTCCTGACTTTTGAAGCGCCCTCGCTCTTTACAAGGAGCGGTAGCATGGCTGTATTGGCTACACGCGCAATGCACAGCCGGGTAATTTAATAACCATCTTCAAACTAAGTTTCTTCTTCATGGGGCAAACTGTACAAGCTATAAAGGATGAAATAACACGAAAAGGTCTGTATGGTAAAAGGTCTGGGCTTATCAACAAATAGTAGTGTCCCGTTTACTGCAAAAGGCAAACGTGAACTTCTACCACGTGGCCAAGTTTTCTCTTTATTTGTAGTTTACCGTTCATTACTTGTCCAGTAACATAAGATGTAATTAATTCACGCCGGTTTAATCAATAAGAATTGTTTTAATCTTAATTTTCTTGAAAACGTGACACTAAATATCTCGGTTTAATCAATAAGAATTGTTTTTACGGGAGTTAAAGGTTTCTATATTTGCTCATTTTCTTTTTGAGAAATTTCAACTTGCGCGAGAGGAAAAACGTGACTTAAAAAACTAGTTGGTCAAAAATATCGAGAATAAAAAACTTTTAGCTAGTTAAAGCTAGACTTAAATCCTTTTTTGCCGCCAAAAAGCCCGCGCTTTTTGCTACTAGTGGGCTATAACATATAGCCTAGTAGTAGCTCAACCAATCAGAATGCAGCATTGATAATAGACCACTAGTTGGATTTTACTAATAAACAATAAACCATTTTACAGTTATGAGCTTCATACCCTGGCCTTTGAGTGAACCGTAAGGCTGAGTGATACAAACCTACTTCCTTGTCTTATGAAAATTATGCTGAAAAAGACTAGTTAGCATGAGAACAACTTGATTAACGTAATAAAAGAGGAAGGGTTGTATCAAAACAAGCCATCAACTCTAACCTCGTTTCCACCTGTAACTGTAAAATGGACTATTAGGGCCAAGAAGATTGGAGCAAATCCAGGGTAAATTACCATGACAACTGATATGATCCCAAGATAACTAATAAGCCAGTTTCGATCAACACTGCGAAGGGGACCCAAATTTTTCTAAATGTGTCATTGAGTGTCATTAGCACTATCGCTCTACCAGGTGCATGGCCGTTTCTCCTGGGTAAGAGGTAGTCTACCACGTGGTGCGCAAGAAATTTAATTTCCATAATCGTACAGCGGAAAAGAGGTAATAACAGATATGACGGCTTTGACTTCTCTAACCTACAGTAAAAACCTTTCGCCGGTGACTTGGACTACAGGTCTTATATTCATTTGGTAAGCGAATCAGATACGCAGTTGTGCTCATAATCTTTCCTCCGGCATCGAGAAACTTCCCAATTAAAAAAACAGACTCCAAGCTGCGGTTCCGGAAATTTGGCCACTAAAATCTTGTGCAGACACCACTTTGCAAGGTCTGCAGATTAGAAGCCAAAACAAAATTAAAAAACCCCCCCTTCAGGGAGTTAGTGAAACAAATCAAGAATAAAATCAATTAAATTCTAGAGCTCAGAAAATTCTACATACTAATCTTACCTCTATGCCCAAATTAAACAAAACACGAGTAGTAAGAAGAAAGTGGCGTAGTTTAAAAAGACGGAATACAAAGTTCCGTTAGGCCTGCAAACTTGGAGCTCAATCAGCGCAGAAAAAACTAACTGCCAAAGTAGTTTAATTCTACCTTCAGGCATTGCATGTCTGCTGTCCCGGCGCGGGTAGCATTAATCATTTCCTGCATGTTTTACTGATAGGATGTCTCGGTATAAATATTGAAAATAATTCAGCTGAATCAAACGTCTAAATTTAGTTCGTTAACAGAAGTCTTGGTCGCCTCAGACGTTTAAGCTGTCTAGTATTCAGATGGGACGCAGTTAACGTCGCACTAAACAGCCAGCCATAAAAGTAACGGTCTGGCAATGATAAACTGAAGGCCCAAAGTGAAACATACGGTGCAATATTGCATTATTGCGCGTATTATGTTTTAGTCGACCTGGCTACACGCGGCGACATTTGGAGCAACATTTCAAGCAGGCATTGCAGCGTGAATGTATTTCCCACCTACCGTGCGCACGACAAGCGACGATCATTCTTGCTAATTGTCCAATATAAACGTGAATATTTTTAAAATAACTTACGATTAAAAGTGCACCTTATTGTACCATATGGTAGAATCACGATGAAAATCGTGAGCAATTGCTGCTCTGAAATTGCGTGCAACAATTTAGCCATTGCTCAAAAGGAAGACAATCGAAAGACAAGAAATGGCCCCTTTGACATCGTTCCATTATCTGCAGCTGCTGTTGGAAATAATAATGTCTGTGATAGCTAAGTAGTTAAGAGAGCGTCCAAGTAGGTTGCTCTGAAGAAAACAGAAATTTCAGTATTAAATTATTTGTTTGAGGAGAGAAACAAAAATAGGCTAAAATGCTTCTAGGTCAAAGAAAGCAACTCTTTGAATGTGCCGATGAACTTTTAGTCGCAATTAGACGATAATTGTGGAGTTGCTTTTAAAACTCATTGTATAATTATGTTGTTAACAATTGAAAAGTAGTCAAATTGAAAAAAATAATATTTGAGAAATGTAATCATTTATTTGGGGGATAAGAAAAAGGGAAGTAAAACTGATGAACTATATAAAGAGTACGGCTACTTAAACTTGTTTTAATGTTTCCGTATTCACCTATACTTTAAATGCAATCTATACTGAAAATAAGATAATTACAATTGCAAATGAAATCTTTAACGACTGCATAATCCTGGAAAAGTCGACTGCTGCTTTCAGCTGAAAATTCACTTGAAACAAATATGAATACTCTTAAAATTGTTTTTTTTTACAGGATTCTTAATCTATTTAATTGACAACAGATAACCAAAAGCAACAAAAACACGATAAAATCTGTACACGTTTTTTACTACATTCCAAAGAAATCAGGTTGACTATAACCTTGACGTTGAAAAATAGCTGGAATCTTAACTTTTTAGGGGGTTTTGGTATTGCTAATGTTTGCTGTAAAGCTAAAATA